CCTTCGCGCACCAAAAAATTTAGACGCGTCACTTCCGAAGCCGAACCGACAAATGACTCGCGCACCGACGCGTCGCCCTTTATATAGCCGTCGATCGGCCGAACCCCCCCCCCCCCAATCGGAAATTTTTAAACTTCCACGATTTTATTAATTATTAATTTTCCGCTCTTATAGCCTATAATTTATGAACGTTTTCACTTCTACTATAAATATACGTTGCGAACAATTTATCAGTAACAATATTAATTTGTTATTAACAATCAGTGTAATAATTTATAAACTTTTAGTAACTTGTAGATATATTTTAACACAAGTATACGTCACAAGTTCAACTAATAGCCGGAAATTTATCAATTTTTTCATTTTTATCATAAATTTACGTTGTGAACAATTTGTTATTAACAACGAGTGTAATAATTTTCAAATTTTTGTTCAAATTATCAGTACATTTTAACGTAAGTACCTGATAAGTTGAATTAATAGTCAGTGATTTATCAATTTTTTCACTTTTATTATAAATTTACGTTGCGAATATTAATTTGTTATTAATAATAAACTCGATGATTTATAAACACGTTTTATAAATTATAACTACATTTCCACTTCCACAGTATACGAATGTGAAAGCACTTCTAGTTTCTGCGCTAGTTTGGCTAAAACGAAGTATTACAAGAAAAGTGAAAACGTAGAAAAATTCATTCTCATCTCGAAAGTTAGATGGGAGTTTAGCAACGTTATATTTATGTCCAAGTATACATAATTTATAAAAAATCATTATTATTTATACCTATAAAACCCACCACTTTATGTATCACCCTTGACATCCTACCTCTAGACTAACCGGTTACCGAATGGTTTAGAAAAAGGATGCAACATAGGACACCCCTAGCTTGCATTTGCCTCTGATCTCGTTCGTTTATCATCGGGGGTGAAATTTGCAAATTTTCAGCGCACCGAGCGAGAGCCTGTATGCATTAGCCGTGGCTCGTATTTACGTTCGCTCGGATAAACCACGAGTTTCGATTGTAAGTTATGTACGTGGAACGAAGAAGCCCGGGGTCCGTCAAACGTAAATATGTTTACCCCTAGTTAGCCGGGTTCGAGGGATTCCGAGTGTAAATATGTACGCCGATGGATGAAGCGTATTTAAGATCCCTTTCTCGTTGTTTCCGTTTAATCATTTCCCGATGAAAGTTGCATCGGCGCGGGCCCTGGAGATAATCCGCGAGAGGGGAAAATTCAGCGGCAAGCTGATAGAGGTAATAAAATTTCGCTTTGAGCGCGTGGCTACAGGAGAAAAACCACGGCGATCAAAGGATAACCGATTTGTGAAAAATTCATCCCGGAAATGGAAAAGCTTTAAATGGATCGCGCGCGGAAAGGCAAGGAACATTTGGCGGAATAGCAAATTTTTCGCAACTTTTTTGGGGGGGCAGCGATGCAAATGGTACGCGGAAACAAGGTTTCCTTGCATTAGAAAGCGGACGAGAGCATACTTCGGTAGCGAGAATATCGTATTACCGTGTTGGGCAACAAGCGAGCAACCCTTCTCGCGGTAGGTGATCCCGAAACGAGATCGCCTCCGAGAGCCTCGAGATTTATGTCCTTCGCGGTCTCTCGTTACTTCCTGCTAAACTTCCCCTGCGCTATCCTGCCCTTTAACCCGATCCTTCTTTCTCCGTCTTTCCTCCGAGGCGAATATTTACGAAAGATGGAAACAACGAGCGTGATAATTTTCTCCGAAGCTACTCTAGTTTACAGAGCAGCAGGCACTGCATCCGCGTTGCACGCACTCGGTATCGTATCGTTTTCGCATTCCTCCCTCTAACGAGAGACTCGGTTAGGTCCATCGCGCGTGGAAAATTGGCCGAGGCACCGCGTTCCCTTGATCCAAAGGTCGTTATCGCGGAAACAACGGCGAACCGAGTGCCAAACGAAGGAAGACCGGTAATAACAGGAAGTGGCACGAGTCGTGTCTCCGATCGATGAGGGGAATAAAAAGGGACGCGTTTCCGCGTCAACTTCGATCGGCAGCGAGTCGGTTTGGGTTAGGTCGATTAAACCGAGAGTCGCTATAGTTGGGCTTACGACGGTTCGGAAAAGGATTTGCCAGATCGGAGAAGTAACGCGGCGGATAATGCCGGAATTAGAAAGAAGCGGGACACGCGCGCGCCAGCTTTACGACATGCACTCTCGGCGGAGAGCAACTGGCAAGTTCCACGGGACGCGGTGCGATTCCGGAGAAAACGTGGAATCCTCCGAAGGCACGGAATCACTTTAGCGAAATAGGTGTACGGAATCGCCTTCACCGGATTACCAGCGAGCTCTTTCCACCGTTTCCCTTCTTCTTTCCCATTCTCCGACCCCTGCGGCGCCGGCTCTCTTCGCCAGCTTCTTCACAGCCGCCTCTTACCGTCGACCGAAAACATTCCGAGCAGAGAGGAACCTTCTGTCGCGCCTTTTACGCCCGTTCGCGCCGCCATGGCTCTGGCTGCCCGTGAACGTTGCTTCACGGAGGCTTGCTTCCGCCGGGGCAGACCAGTTGCACCTCGTGCAAAGGGTCGGCGATGAATCTCGGAGTTAACAACTTTTTCGCCGGCCCGGAAGAGCTTGATCCCGGAGAGCGAATTCGCGTGGAACAGGAAAAAGAAGAAAAAGAAGAAGAAGAAGAAGAAGAAGGAGAGATAGAGAAACGGTGGTGGATGAGGAGCCGATAGGGAACAGGGGGAAAAGGAGGATCTCGCGGAGAACAGGGGCCAGCCACCCTGCGTGGAAGGGGTGAGCGAGCGTTCGGAGAAAGAGGAACGGGTTTCGTGCGGCATCGATCCACGTCCTGCGATCTATTTCGTTGCTCTCGAAGAGATTGCCATTGCGTCTGCATTACTCGAGCTCTCGCTCGTGTTATCAGGGCCTTTGGCCCAGAGGGTATGTACCCTGGCCGTTTGCTCCTCCGCCGAGCGGATTCGTACGTGTACGGGAGGAGCACACGTGTCTGGGTGCAGGTGTGGGTACTCGTGGATGTAGAGTAGGCGCGCGATTGTGTGGATAGAGAGGGGGAGCGAGAGGGAAGGTGGAGCGTGTCTGCGGGTGCATTACGCTGATTGCTGGTCGCGGCCTCCTCTCCGGAGAACATAGAGTCATGAAGGCCGGGAGGAACGAAAAGGTGGAAAGGTGGCCGTGGCAGGCGGGAGGAAGACAGAGTCGGCCGTGAACCGACGAGGAAGAAGAAAAGGGGATAAGGGCCCTTGCCGGTTAAGTAAGTGAACGCTCGTACATTCCCGGAGAGCGCGCGCGGATTTTAATCCTTTAAATGAATGACGCCGGTGACGCTGACTTGCCCTATGATCCCGTTTCTTCTCTTCCTTTCCACGCGAAGGCGGTCTAGTTACTTTCTCTGCCGCGACACCGTTCCTCTTTGTCCGCCGTAGAGGCAAGCTACACCGAGAGATATCGAATCGCGCGTCATCGCCACGAGATTCTCCTCTCACTCGCGGTCGTCGCACTCTTCCTCTTCGTAGAACCCGCGAAAAATCCTCGGGAAAAAGGGACGCGCGAGCGGACAAGACGCTAATACGCGCGTAATTGCGTACGCGTCGCCTCGGCTCGCGACGATAAACGCGAACGCGCCGGCAACTCGTTATTCTTCTTGTCCTGAGGGCGCACCGCCGTGCCGCGCCTTCATCTACGCGCAAATAATCATCGCGAGAGGATTTCCCATTGTATTATTGTGTCTGCCGTTGAATGACAAACTGCACGCTTCCTCGGCAACTGCGTCGCATTCGTTACTAATATAGTCGCGGCACGCAATCCCGGACGTGGCTAACAAAAATTTCCCGACCCGTCTGCGAACGTGCCGGCGTACCCGCTTCGAAATTCGCGTCGAAATTCGCGTCGAAATTCGCGAGCGTTCGCCACGTGCCCTATCGAGAAGAGAGTCGGTGGTAATTACGAGTTGGCAGGAAAGTTTAAGCGTCGGACGAAAACGAGAGTACGTCTCGTCGCCGCGACGATCGACACCCTCGAGGAACGTAACAGCGATCCGCGAGGTGCGTGGATCCGCGTAGACCGAAAAATCGTTGGAAATTACTTACACCGCGAGCGACAACCCAGTAGAGGAGAGCAGAGAAAAGACGAAGAAGAGAGGGGGAGAGAGAGAGAGAGAGGGAGATAGAAAAAAAATTGCAATTCCCCGGAGAAGAGCAAGCTGGCGTTAACTCAAGAAGGATTTTCGTGGCGCGGCTAGTCGGCCAGGGATTACGAAAACTCGTTAACCAGCTAATGGCCTTAAATGACGAACGACGAGATTTTTCTGGGCAATAGGGGAGGATTGGACCGACGTGCGGCGTGATCCAGTTTCACACGGTACACAGATAATGTACAAGAAGCGTAACTGTGGCCTGGATAAGCGGACGGAAGTTAGAGGAAGGGGCTGGAAACGGCCCTTTAAAATAGGGGTAAGGGGGGGCGAGTAAAACGAGCAGATAGATTATATGGGCACCCCTGGTGGAGAATCGATCCTTGAATTACGGGCACATTATGACTGCGAAACTTGCTAAGGCCGCACTTTCCTACCCGGCAGCGAATTAATCTGCGCGAAAGAAGAGAAGAGCCTCGAAGCCGGAAGCCGATGATTCATTTCGGATGGAACGCGCTTAGAGACCGGCGTGGAACGGAGAAACGGCGGGGTTGGGAGAGAGACGAAAGCTGTGGCAGAGCTTGAGAGGATTCCGGTAACGAGGAACGATCGAAGTCCCTTGGTTCGTCGATTAAACGATCGCGCAAAACGCTGACATACGCCGGCCATTGTCTATGGAATCTGTTGGTACCACTCCGTTCTCGATTTACGCGATTCGCTATATCTTCCATGCGCTACCCGTTTCCTATACGACCCCGAACACCCGTTCTCCACTCGCTAACGATCCCCCCTTGAAAAATACTCGCGCGACAGTACGCGAGATATTCCAACGAACGAATTAATCTCAGAACCCGAACGATTTCAGCCGATCGGCATGCACCTGAACAAGTACGAGTGGGTAGGACGGCCAGACATCGGCGACTGTTCCCTGTGGGTCAGGTCGGCGAATCTGGAGTTCGACGACGGCCTCTGGCAGTGCCAGGTGACAGCCAGCGACTTCACGACGCAGGACGCGTTGGCATCGGAACCAGCGAGGCTGGTCGTCAGAGGTAAACCTTGAACTTAACAACAACGCTCGGCTCTGATTCGATGAAAAGCGACGCTCGCTAATCAACGCGTTAAACACCTCATGCGGACTAACAGAATTCCCATTTGCATGCAGACCATTTCTATTCCAAGCCCGTACATTGCCCGGCCGTGAAACTAGCGTGGTCATCAAAGCCACGTTCGTCGCTTTTCATTGTCGTTATTCCCATTGTAACGAAATTAACACGCTACTCGTCCGGGGACCAGGTATCGCGGCGAGACAATACCGACGTGAACGTAAAGTTGCGAAACTGGGCCAACGCGCAAACTTGCATCGACGTTCGAAACGGTGTTACTCTTCGCGTTTGCCCGACACCACCGCGTCACTCCGTCAGAACGGTTCACGGATAGATTCGTTTGCCCGCGTTCATTCGCGTTCATCGATTCGAGGTATATACAGCTACTTGGAAAGCTTTCGGAATGGCCGTCAGGGTCAAGAGCGGTGTCTCTTGACCCAGACGTCCGCGCGTCGAACGAAAGCGACGTCTATCGCGTCGCGATACGAGCACGAAACGATCCATCGATCGATCGTTCGATCGGGGAGGAATGACAATGAACGACGAATCGATTAAAAGATAAGGTCGATTCGCGAAGCGGGTCTGCGAATATCCGTTGGTGCAACGGCGAAATTAACCTCTGGTGATTTTCTCGTTCCAGTCAGTCCTCAGCGACCGCAGATAGAGTACGCGGATCGTCTAATTCGACCCGGCAGCAACGTGACAGCCCGAGCAGGTGAGATGGCTACGCTCACTTGCAGAGCGCGGTATGGGAATCCTTCGCCTCTAATTAAATGGTTCGTAATCGTTGCAACGTAGACTCCGTGCTACTTACAGTCTACCACCGAACCTCTCCTCTTCGTGCTCTTTTTCTCCACGATTCCTCCGGCTGCCTCGAATCCGCTTCCGCTCGGGACCGGAAGTCTATCGATCGAGCGGATCGAACGCTCGCGAGGAATCGGGCCCGCGTAACTACCCAGCTACCTCGAGAATCCACTGATCTCGTCTCCACTCGAATCTACTCCCCGCGGTGTTTGTTCGAATTTTAACACCGTACCGCGGGCACGGAAATTTCGAGGAGCCGGCGTCTGTCGCAAATCGAGCGAGACGAAAGAGATGGCAAAAGGTCAAGCAGGAAATTGAAACGGAGTAGCTAGCGCGCCGGAAGGATCCGAGTAATAACGTTGGTTTCCAAGGGAGAGCTTTGAATGCTTTTAGATTGCAGCCCGTTCTCTAGACGGCATGCTCGCGCGTTCAATCATCGCCGAGAAACGCTGCTCCTTTTCGGGATTGATTCGATTAGCCAGCCCCGGCACCGAGTTGATTTCGTCTCGCGGACTTTGGACAACTTAATTCCAGCCGTGTCTTTCGCGCGTCCCTGCTCGGTAATCGTTCGATTACCACTGTAATTGCTCGCAGTTCCCGGAGTCTGAACCTACTACGCGGAAGACGAGTCGACTAAATGGCCGAGTCGCAATCGAGTCAGCCGAGAGGAGTGCAGATAGAAGAAACGCGAGAAGATCGAATCTAATTTTTAAATCGAATTCACCGGGTCGCAACGACGACGTCGCTTTCTCGATCGCGAAAAGAACCGGCCAGAGTGTTCTTCTCCACTTCCGGAGCTATTATTATCCGGAAAGAGGCCTGACGTCGCGACGTCGAGCCGAGTCCGCCGATACACGCGCGCACACAGTCTCGCTGGTTCGAGAAGCAGCCCGGTTAGTTTTCCCCGCGCGAACATCATCCCGGCCCGTAATGCACCCTGTGGATCTTGCCGATGGTGGCATACGGCTCGCTCGGCTGCCCATGAATAATCATGATCCATTCCGACCGGTATCTAGACGAAGTTAAGAGGCTACCAGGGTTTGCTTGCACCCCAGAGGCGCGGAAACAACGGAAAGCACGCGAATGAAACACCGGGCCAACCGGTTCAACCGCCAGCCGATGATAACCTGCGCCGCGAAGCTTGATTAAGTCGTATCACGACCTGCCTAGAATCGCGCGCGAGTTCGTGCCAATGACGCGTCTCGTGTCGGAGAGCATCCGCGAATTCCAGACAGGCTTCCTTCCTTTTCGCTTCTCCGCACCCCGTCTCACCCCCTCGCTGCAAATTAACCTAATTGATACCACTGATCCGCGCGAGTGGTACATGCCAGGCATCACGGACGCGCGAGGATCGCGGCAGAAATGGTAAATCGTTCGGGACGTCGGCATGATTTACGAGACACGCGCCCGGACTTTTCGATTTTTCCCGGTGATTAGCGCAAGTTCCAGGAAGAAACTGGAAGCTGCAACTGGAGAGCCGACCGTTTCCTCTCCTCTCTCTTTCTCTATCTAGAGTTTCGTGATTTATCCCCGTCGATTTTTTCGCGCTAGATGACACTCGTTGTCGCGATCGATCGAAACGAGGAAACGAATCGTTGTCGTCGCGAGCTTTGTCCTCGAGAGAAACGACTTTGAAAAGCAATTGAACGGTAAGCCCCGTGTTTATAATCCTGCATCATGCTTGCATAAAAACGATAATTTACGAGCACAGGTAGCGATATTTCTGCGCGGAATATTAAAATGTTTTCATAAGAGGGAAGAAAAATGGCCGCGGTCAAAGGGATGAAGCCCGAGACACCGAATGAACCAACACGGAACCCGGTCTCTTTTAAACGAAAGAATCGATTATGTTCCTTCTTTTTCTTCCGCGCACAAATCCGCCAACTTTCTACGTTACACGCGCGCGTACGTTGCTTTTTTCCGAGTCTTTCACCATTCTCTCTCTCTCTCTCTCGCTCTCATCCCAGTCAGAAATTTCAATCCGCTTTCTGTAGCTCGTATCGCAGCGACGGATAGGTACATAGGTTCGCGGCTGGTTATTTATCAAAGTAACCCGGCCAGCGAGCTATCAGCGCGATAAATAACCGAGACCGCGGATGGAGCCAGTCGTTTCGCGCGGACCCTCTCTAAACTGTCGCGTCAAAGGAAAAATTATGGCGATCATCGGGTTTCCCAGGGTGTGTCCACCCCCTCGATTCTTCTCGCGACGCTCGGGCGCAGAGGCTGAGGAAAATCGCTATTCTCCCCGCGAGATACAGTTCCGAAGAACAATGAAATCTCCGCTTTAGAACTCGAGACACTCCGAGATTCCAGAGTGGCGAGGCAAACTCGGGGGTGATTACCTGCTTCAATCTTTGGTTTCATAGCGGAGCTCGACAGGGAGACAGGGTTGGGCAGAGAGACAGGGGATACGGAGATGTAGCGAGATGTCGAGGGAAAAGGGAAACAGAGTGCGAGTCGGCGAAGAAGGTCGAGGAGGAGGGTTCGGTGTCCGTGAGATTTCGCTGCGCGAGGAGTTGTCACGGAGCAGCCATTGGAAATGCAAATTTTCGGTGGGAATGCTCGTAGGTACGTGGGCGAGACCGAGGTAAGGACTCTGAGGCCTCAGGTAAACTCCACGGAGATAGATAATCCCCGCACTTGGTCGACCTACAGCATCTGCGACATCATGGCCGAACGCTCGCACTACGGGCAGCCGATTCGCTGCGTCGCCATCCATCCGGCCTACGACAACGCGGCCATGTCCCTCAGCACGGAGGTCAGGTTCGACGTCAGATGTGAGTATGCCTCCTTTAACTTTACGTGCATCCGAAACATATCTGTGGTCCGAAAGACACTCGATTCTGAAAAATTCGGAAAATTGTTGTAGTAAAAACTAAATATTGAAATAAACTACATCCTAGCGATGCGGAGCTGACCCCTTACCTGCGTTTTGTCTTTTATCCCCCGTTTTCTGGAGACGTCTTTTGACCTGCGTGGTCCTAAACAGATCAGTTCTACAACTTCTAAACCGTTCGCCCGTTTAACCCTTTGACTGCCACGCCGAAATTACATGTTTCGCTCAGGACGCCACGTGAGATGCACCGCTAGACGCAAGATTTGTTCTAATATTTTTTTAATGTTCTAATAAAAATTTTGAATCGTTCAATGCGGCACTTTTTATTTCAAAGTATGTTCTAATTGGTGGTTATATTCAAAATGCACTAACTGTCAATTTTCATTCAATGTTGTTCAATATAGTTTAAGTAGTTCAAGCGCTCCGGTCACCAATGGCCATCGTGGCCGGTCATGTATGCCCAACGTGATAGTCAAAGTGTTAATAAACATCTATACAGTTTTTCCACGATTTCCACTAGCTACTGTTTCTTTGCATTATATCCCCTGAACAAAAACAATGGCTAAAAATGAAGCTCGCTTCTGAAAATATCAATGATCCCTGATTTACGGGAACACGAATTTGTATGAAATTCCTCGCAATCACGGATATGTCGAATTGTTCTCGTCATTTCCGAGAATGGAGAGACTACTGACATTCTTGCGATTGAAATGACAGCAAACTGATTTGTACTGGAACAACGATATTCGATCAGGGACGAGCGTTGACGATTTCGACGGTGTCGTGTCTCGACGTAATAATTTACAATCGCGTTACATCCTTCGAGTCTATTACCCCTCATCTCGGCTGTTCTCGTTTCTTACGTTATCTCACGGCTACTCGAGTCAACGTGGATTTATCGCTCGTTTCGCGTATATGGCCACGCTTGGCCATACACGGCACCGCAGCTCCGCGCCTTATTCCATATTAGCAGACTGGTCTCGGAAACGGAGATCATTAACGAATAAAAATGGAGGAAGATCAATTCCAGCAGCTATAATACTCGCGCGAAGGCGATTTGGCCGCACGAACGTGGCGTGGCGGCTTAACGATTTTAGCATAAACGGAATTTAGATTCGCCGCAAAGGATAGCCTTGTTATAAAGTCATTATCGGGGATTATCAGGGAGATTAATATTTAAAACTGATCACCGTTAGCCGGTCGATCCTCGAGCAGGGAGGTAGCGCGGCCGGCGCGGATCAAGCGGCCCTCTTGGCAACTTTCCTCCGTGCTTGGAACTTTTTTAACGAGATCTCCGTGTCTGGAAACAATTTTTCGCGATGGAGGGAAATCACGTCGGCCGAAAGACGCGCAAGTAATTTCGCGGTATCCGCGAGAGTTCGATCGCGCTCGGCTGACGCGATGAATTTGTTTGGATTGCCGCGAAACACACCGCACACACCGAGGCACCGAGCCTAAGACGCGGGGGCTGAGATTAAAATTCTGCCCCAGCGCTTTCGCTCGCGCATAACGGGCCGAAGTGGGAAAAAAAATGGTTGCTTTCGGTCGCCTGGTAAAACATTTGTCCCTCCGGTGTGCTGGCGCAACGAGACTCCACTCGACTCGACCCGATATCCCGGATTCCTAGTGGAATCGTAGGTAGATACGTGTACGGCGAACGTTTTAATCAGCACTCGTTTTACTCTTTCAACCGCTTGCGAGTTTCCATTAGGAGATTCCATCGTTACGTTATAATCTCGGCGAAATGGTAGGCGAGTCGGAGAAGAGATGGAAAGCGGAGTTACGCGTGACGATTAAAGATCGGAGTGCACGGTTTATTTACGCAGGCAGGCTCGCGAGATAGGGTAGGAACCGGTGTTATTTAGAGCAGACGTTTGGTCACGACGTTTGGTGCCGACACGGTCATTTGGTCCGGGGGAACAGCAGCGCGAAAGAACATGGAGCAACAAATAAATCGGCGTTAACGAGAGGTCGACAGGAAGGGTGCGTGTGCATCGCGCTGACCTCAAACCCTACCGAAGCAGCAGCCCCCACCGAGGCAACGATTTAACTCTGTACACAGGCCGGTAACCGCGGAACCCTCATCAATCTCCCTCAAAACGCGCCGCCCTGACATCCTGCTTTTCGACCTTATCGACAATTCGAGCTTCGCTGCATCGTCCGACAATTTTGAATCGGTTTTTGCGAAACACCGCGGCGAACAACAATGACTGATGGCCGGTGAATCGATTCGACCGGCCGAAACGACGCCTCCGCCACCCTTTCGCAGTCGCAGAAAAATATCATTCTCGTACGAACGACAATCGAGCGAAACGGGATCGAAGAGATATTAATAATCGAGCTGCCTCGCGCTAACGCTAGACCATCATCGATCCTCTCGATCGCTGTTCGAACCACGCGTACGGTTATAACAGCTCCGCACCCTGCTTCCCTCCTCCCTTTTTATCGCCAGACCCATCCTGTAATTTAACCACGACCAACTGTCCGTAATCGGATTGCGAATCGATCGCCGAGTCGCTTTACCCCGTCGACGGGACCGAAATTTTTCTTCTATTAATCGTTTCCGTCCCGGCGCGACCCCAACCACCCCAAACTCCCCGATCCTCCACCCCGGAGCCGAGTAATTCGTTCCGGGTGAAATCGAGTTCGAACTCGAGTCCTCGCCGCGATTCCTTCGGGAGCCCCGTCGACGGTAGACGCGTGAGACGCGGTTTACAAGTATTACCGGGCGAAAATGGAGACACGGGGGTGGCCTCGCCGCGTATATTGATTAGGAGCATTAGCCGGCTGGGACTTTTCCAGGCAAATTGAAAAGTTCGCCTCAAAGCGCAGATATATTCCATGCCGATGTCGCGTCGATCGGAACGCCCACGGGAATTTCGAATCATCCCGTCGTTCGCCATCCTCCCGCCAACCTGGTCCGCCCCCATCCAATCCGCCCCATCCCGTTCAATCCAGGCCCGTCGTTTACTTTGCCGCAACGATAGCTCGCCTACCCCGTCCATGCACTTTTCCCTTACCGGCAACCAATCGTTCCGCGAGTTCCACTGCCTCGCTTTTAGCTTTCGACCTCTTTCGTACCTCTTTCGTACCTCTTTCGTGCCTCTTCGCGCGTACACCTGTCCGAGCGCAACCCCTCGCGATCCGGGACGGGGCGCGGACGCGGAGAAACGAGGGAAAGAAGAGAAAACAAGGTCGGGGTCGAACGCGTGACAAAAGTTGCAACGGCTGTCGGATTAGAAATTTCGCTCGAGGAAAGACACCGCCGGCGAAGTTGATGGAAAAGTTCCGGTCTAGGGGTGGTCAGAGGTGGTCAGGGGTGACCCGGACGGAGCGGATGCAGTTTCGTGGGAGCAGCTGACGCGAGGGGCGGACGGTTACTCGGCGAAGCGTATTTCTGGTAGTCGTTCTTCGGGTAAACTTCAAACGGCCGTGTTTTTGTAGACGATGGTGACGGGGCGGATCGAACGAACGGAGAAAAGGGTTAAAACAAAGAGCGGGAAAGAGCGGCGCGAGCGGCCGGCCTTTGTGTCGCGCTACAGAAATTTCCGTTTCAACCCGTTTCGACCCCTTGGAGGAAATTTTCCATCGCCCGCCCTCTCTAATTAACCCGTCGCGCGCGAATTCGTTAATTAACCTTTATCCGGTGTATCATCTGGAAGCAGGCTAACGCTCGCGGGGGTGCAGCGGACGCGAAAAATGCCGACACACTGACAAATATTCAAACATCGGACGGCGTATATATTTACCGGGAAACCGAGGATAAAATAACAAAGCGAACGTAAATACAAACATCGAAGTTCCTCTTTTTCCGCGTTACGTTCTCGACGCGGTGCACCGGACGATTCGCAAACACTGCCGAAACGCATCCGGGGTTCTTTATCCTAACCTTGCGCCTCGAAATGGAATAAAAGGAGCGAGGGGGGCCGGACGAGAGCGGGGAAACGATAGGAGATAGAGAGAAAGAGAAAGAGAGAGAGAGAGAGAGAGAGAGAGAGAGACGGGACGCATATCGAGAATATCGCAATCGGACCCCGTTTGCCCGGAGCGAAACGATCGAACATTTTTCGTCGCGAATTCGCAAATTTATTGCCCTCCCCCCACCGTACCCCTTGCGCGATAATGAATTTGTTTCGATCAACGTTGCGCTCGTTTGCTCGTAATTTACTGGTACCGATGCTGATCGAATATTCATGAAGCATTGTTCGAAAACGAATACCGTGCTGCAGAATTTATCGAAAACTCCAGGAGAGGCTGACGCGATTTATGCACCGGGCACGTAGTTTTCGAATGTACAGCTGACGGGCCGGCCGTGTTTCCCCGCAGTCTTCGGTAAACTTCAAAACGGCTGCACGGTAATGGCGTTGTATCCCGGCAGCCGCGTGGTCGGCCTGAATGCCAAATTTTTCCTTTTTCCCTTTTTTTCCCGCGTTCGACGCTCTCTCGTCGCTCTCTCTCTCCCTCTCTCTCTCTCTCTCTCTCCGCTCGGATCACGCGCGTCCTGCTCCCCCGGATAATCGAATCCTCGCGGAATCACGGAAAAACACGCGGCCCGACTCGTTCCACGATTATTACCCTCCAGTCCGTTCGCTTTTTACTCGAGAGTCAGCTCTAACGAAGAGAACAACGTCGCGATAGCTCTAGAATCCGAAATGTTTAGCCAGAGGTGAACTTCCGACGGGAAGAAGACAGACGAGGGGAGTTGGGAAATAGCGGAAAGAAATATAGCGACGCGCATTGTTAGCCGATGGAGGATCGATCGCTCGATCCAGTCCCGGTGTCCAGGATCGTCGCCGTGGATCGCGCGCAGGTCGGTGTGCAGGTCGACGATGGGCGAGTGGAAAGCGGAAGTTCCGGAAAAAGAGGCGCGACAGTGACGAATCGCGGTTTCGAAGATGCCAATCACACGACTAACGTTCGCGTTTGCGTGCAGCGATGCGGACGAAACGCGCGGGATAGAGTCGGGGAAACAGGTGAAACGAAAAGAAAACAGTTGGTCCGATCGAAACAGCTGCGGAGAGGAGAAGCTCTGCCTCGCGGAGGAACACGCGCCGTGAAAACCGAACGAATAGGGGTGTGGTGGTTGGTTTGACACACACGCGAAGGGACATTCAGCGTCCGCACCCGCGCCGACCGGTGTCCTATAAAACGCGGACAGCCACGGTAAAAAGGGTAATAGAGGGGAAACAGGGCGGCGAGGGGTGGAAACGACGAGGGGGTGACAGGGCGAGGGACGAAGCGGGAGGGATGTAGCTGAAATCGTGAATGGGTCAGCGAGTGTTCGTTCGCGCGTATTTCGAAATCATTGTTACGTGAAATGAACAGCTGCGCAAGCTACCTACGCTCTCCCTATACGACGATTCGATTCCAGAGCATCCCACCCCGACCGGCTTTTTCATCTCTCGCATCTTTCCCTCACTTTTTCCCTTCGCGCCTGCAACAGTTCGCTTTCACGCTTCTGACAAATTAATTCTCCAGCTTCTCCGAAAGCCTCCGCGTTCGCGCCACCTCGTCTGTTACCTGGGTCTGCACGTCCCTGCCTTCTCTCCCTTTTCTCCCTTTCCTCCCTGGCTGGGCAAAAAATATCCTCGCGTCTCGCGATTTCTCGATTTTTCGAATAATTCCACGGAAAAATTTCGCTGCTTCGATCTCGTAGATCGACGAGTCGAAGATCCCGATTGGATTTGGCCCCAGGGCTAGACCACGAGCATCGCGAGCAGGCCACGTGGCTTTCGTTTGCTCGACGACAAAAGAAACAATTAATGACGGAATCGAGTTACCCCGTAGCCGAGTTCTCGCGAGACGCAGACACGAGAAAGGGGTGGACGTGTTTGCGCGGCCGATGTCTCTCCGGTTTAGCCGTCCCTCTTTGCGAGTTGCGTAATCGTATTTTCAAGTCTGAATACGAGCTTGTTATTTTTGGCCCTCGGGAAATAGGTCGGGACTGAAATTATTAATTAATACAATTTGGATCCGTATTCCAACATTAATTAACCGTCATTTGTGACGTTTCTCGGTGGGCACCACACAGTTTCATTGGTTTAAATCAGCGGGAAGAGCCGGAGGGGGTGGGCGGGAGTAATTGCATATTAACACGGTAAATTATTTTCCACGTCCAGTGCCTTTAATCGAAAGCTTTGTCGGGATGAAAATCGGACAAACGAGGGCGAAAAGCGTATAACCCTTCTTCCGCGATATTTTTCGGCCAGCCTTCGAACCGTAACTCCCTCGATCGATCCCTTCAACCCCGTAATTGCTTTCGCTGAAAAATACAACGTAACGCGGCAATTCGATGCACGTTAATCGAATAGAGAGCGCGCGAGCGACTAGTTTGATAGACTACGTTTATCGGAACGTGATTCGAAGTAAATCCAATGGATCCCTCTACCATGGGCATTATTTTACCCCGATTACCAACTTTTCCGCTCGATCTTTTATCCCGAAAGACCGATCTACCTGCAATTTTCTTTCCCCCCGCTTTGCCCTCTTTTCTATTTATACGTCTTCCCCTTTTTCCCGCCTCTCTTTGTCTTCCACCTTCGGCAAAGGAGCGTCATCCATCGACCGTGACACGCGGATTCGTGGTCGAAAAAAGGGAAAACGAGAGAGTAGAATTTTGCCAGGCCTGCGTTGCGACGCACGCATCGATTAACCAGAGAGACCGGAATCAACCGGTGCAGTATCAACCGATCTCTCTCTCTCGCTCTCTCTCTCTCTCTCTCTCGTCGTTCGATGGTCGCTGCGAGGCCGTAGGATTAACTGCGCGCAGGTGTAATTGAATTTTTCGCGAGCAACGGCTAACTAATTATTTCTGACAAGGAATAACGAAACAGCGGGATACCGGTCCAACTTTGATTCATTATTTCAAGGTTTATACGCTAGCCTGCGCTCTCTCCGCGCGCTCTGTCGGCGTGCCATTGTTTTCCATTCCATTATCGGGCTTGTCGTGTGTTACTTTTTTCCCCGGCGACCAGAGGAGAACGAGAGAGAAACATCTTTGTCCGGATCAGGCGCGAGAGCGCGAATCGATCGGTCCAGGTGGTCCACGCGTTCCGGTTGTCGTGCAACCCTCCGGGATCGACGTGCCGTTTCTTTCGCGCGACACGATCCGGATCCACTTTTAATTACGCGCTCATTAACGAAGGATTGAATCTGAAAACTTGCCACTCCGGCCTACGTTTACTCTCGCAACCGATGTTTATTTTTCCGCAGCGTGCCGCGGCTTCGCGCGCTATGATTAAAGCTCCGATAGCAATTCTCCGCCCGCCGTTTCAATTAAACCCTCCTACCGTTTGTCGAATCACGCGCCAGTCGAACTTTTCTTTTTTCCTCCCCCGCCGTTGCTTAAGGGGTAAATTAAATACCTCGCCTTGAGGCTGTCAGACATGGATCGTAATCGCGAAATTATAATTAAAATCGCACGCTTATAGGAGGAAGGCGACGTAACGAAGTCGGATTCGAAACGAAAATGTTTCAGACGCGCCCGAGACCAGGCTGGTCGGTGTGCCGACCGGGCAGCTCGAGGAGGGTCGGGACCAGCTGGAGATTCGATGTCTAGCCGACGCGAATCCACCGGCCACGATCCGCTGGAAGAGGACGAAGAGCCCTGGAGTGACCGAGGTGGCCAGCATCGGGGAGACGCTGCTATTCTCGCCGATCTATAGGAATCACGCGGCCGTTTATATCTGCGAAGCGGGCAACGCCGAGGGTGAAAGCAGCCCTGTGTCCGTTCAAGTGTCCGTCAATTGTGAGTGTCGTCGGCCTCGTTCCCAACGCTTCCTATTACCCGCGACCAGTCGTTCCGAAACTATCCGCGATTAACCCTTTTACGAGCGAGACAGCGTACCGAGAGATCGGCCGACACACGGTCGATCGATTTTCGGCTCGAGCGGAGCAAATAGACCGCGTACATTCAACCGCTTTGCGAATAAAAATAACCACACTCTCGCCTCCGCCGCAAAGACGATCGAACCCTAGACCGAGGATCATCATCGTGACGCGTGGACGCGTTCTCGGATGGCTCGGGGAATAATTTCGAAACGGGATTCGTTCACGACCGACCGGCTAAATGCTCGACAGTTGCACTTTGCAGCAGCAGCGGTGGGACGTTTCGTTCGATCGTTAAATGCGAAGACAGCGAAGAAAACGCGTCGCGAATCCGACTTGTCGCAGGTCGGACTCGCGCGAAATCATCCGACCGGCTAAATGCTCGACAGTTGCACTTTGCAGCAACAGCGGTGGGACGTTTCGTTCGATCGTTAAACGCGAAGACAGCGAAGAAAACGCGTCGCGAATCCGACTTGTCGCAGGTCGGACTCGCGCGAAATCGGTTAGCGTTGGAACGCCTGTGTTCTGGATGTAGTCGACGAGAGAGCAATCGATAGCAGGATCGTCTGGTTTTCACGCAGATCCGCCGACGATCAGCTCGGTGGGGCCGGATCGGCTGACTACGGCGTTACTCTTTTCCGGAGCCTCGTTCGAGTGCAACGCCGACGCAATGCCACCGGCTGAATACAGGTGACCTATTCGACGACCGCTTCCAACCATCGTGCATATTCTCCCCTTTTAAATCCTCCTTCTTTTTCTTCTTTTTCTTCTTTTTCCTCTTCCGTTTCGCAGTCGAGTTTTTATCAGTTCGCCCTCTCACCTTCGGTTTTAGTTCGCACAGGTGCACGCATGTGAAACGAAACGAAAGTGAATCCACAGCGGTAACCCGGATCTGGGTCGTCGCTCGATGTAGCGTTTAATTTATCACCTTACCTCGTTTGTTCGTAAATATGTGTTTATCATAATTCCCGTTAGTCGTACTTGTTGCTTCTTTACGTTTCCCACGTGCAACGAACGTCATCCGAAATTGTTGCAGTCCTCGCCGGTACACCCGGTACGACGACGAACGTCGTTGCACTTGGTGATCGCGTGGTAGTCGCGTGGTAGTCCTGTAACAGTGAGAAAACGGTTAGAAAACAGCGAATGGTAGCAAAGTCCAAGTGAAATGTGACAATTGCTTTCTGCATCCTCGACCAGGTGGGCCCAGATCTTCACCGATGGTCGGATGCCGTTGGAATGCGGTACCGGGCAGCGATTGATCCTGACGAACGTGACGTACGAGCAACAGGGTCAATACATATGTCTGGCCTCGAACAAGATCAATGGGAACGTCAGGGAGGTTAAAAGTGACCCTGTGTTCCTGCAAGTGGTCGGTGCACCCAGGGTAAGACGCGCTACGAATTACCAGCCCTAGTCTACTCGCGACCTCCGGAGAGCTGGGATTTAAAGCGGTCGTTGGAACGAAACGAGTGGAAATGTAACCATTTCGACGGAATTAGCGGGAAAAACTCGGGCCACGCGTAAATCGAACGGAACACGCCAGTGGTCGAATTAAAATTTAATCGATCCACTAGCCACGGAGCGTACATCGTAGCGGTGAAACGCGCAGGGTGTCCGGTTTTTGCGCCACGCGAATGCGAATGTATTATCGGCCTCCGCTTTATATCGCGAAATCAATGCGATCGGGAAACAAACGATTGTTGCTTGTAATTAATTAACAAAATTATGTTTGTTCGCCCCGCGTGCTCGTTGATCTGTTGACGCACACGCTCGGCTGCAACCCCATCCCCGCTGGGTATTTAAATATGAAATGAGAAATTCATATTTATCCCGGACGCGTGTAAAAAGGAGGAAATTGAAAAAATATGCGTATGAGTGCACGCATACGAGTCCAAGTAAAATGTCATTTTCACGACACACTCGTGTCGGTTGATTGCAGCTACACTGGTTTCATTCGCCGCTACGTTTCGTGATCCATGATCCGTGCACCACTTGTGGTCCCTGGATATTCCGCGAAATCGACGCGAAATGTTTGACTCTTTCATAAAAACGTTAGCTCCGAAATGTCGGTAAAAAGCAATCGCTCTGGGGGGAAAAAAAAAAAAAAAAAAAAGGATGTGAAAGAGAGTGGGGGATATAAAAAGAATCACGGTTCAGTTCACAGTCGCGCTCTTTTGAATCCGTCTTTTAAATCCGATTGCGTCCGATGAAGTTCATTTCGACGGACATTAATGGCTGGTTCGAACGACGCGAATTTTTAATGGAATATAACGCGCCTTCGTTCATTGTTTATTCGTCCGTTGGTCGAGCAGAAATGATTTCGTGGAAATTACGGGGAATTTAGTGGAGAGAAAAGGTCGCTAGATCGCATCGTTTAAACTAGCCAAAATGGAAAAGACGAAGACGGTTGGAGATGGAGAAAAGTAGGATCGAAGGAGTTGTCTAACGTGTGTCGCAGGTGGTGAAACCGGCCATCACGGAGAAGTTTGTCGTGGCAACGACCGAAGGGAGCCCGGCGAAATTAGAGATCAGACTGTGTTCCGACCCGAAGCCCCGGCTCGTGGCTTGGGAATGGGGCAGCACCAGACTCCACGCCGGTTAGACTGCTTCCTAGCTCTACCGCCAAAAGTATTCGAGTCTTTGGTTTGCTCTTTCAGTTTTTTTACGTACGTCTCTTCTCGCTAATTGGCACTCCTTATTACCGAAAAGTGGTATACTCGCGATTAATTAATTCGAGCATCCCTTTAGCCGCAAGCTCCCCTTTAATTACCCGCCTTTTTCTCGCGTCCTCCTCGAGCCGAAGCTCCAACTTCCACGACGAGCCTTCGATCCTTCCCCGGATTCCACGACCGACCGCCTCTCGACACTCCAGACCTTATCATCCACCCCTTCCACTCGTTCCCTTCGCACCTTGTCGGACGTTGTTTAGAAAACACCAGGGTTTCTCCTTTATTTTCCAGCCGCGTGTCCTTTCGTTTGCGTTTCCGTTTCCGTCTTTCTTTCTTCTTGTTTTCGCACGGTCGCTCGTTCTTCGCGAGCCTGCGACGATGATCCAACTGTGTTTGCGACTGATACGACGCAGTGAAGGAGCACCGACCGATCTAACTATCGGTTAAATGTTCGCAGGTGAAGTTCTGGAGTCGCGTTATCGGGCGTTGGATCTGGAACCATTGGAGGTGGAGGATTGTTATATAGCCGTTTTGGAACTGACTAGCACGGTCAAGGAGGATCAGAGAGTGTACCATGTAATCGTGGAGAACGATCGTGGAAGCGATCGCAGGGCCCTGATGTTGAGAGTCGACGAACCGGGCCAGGTAATTAGAACGATATCCATCGCAGAACAAGGGGATCGAGGTTGCCAGCGTATTTCGGGCAGAACACACTCCCGCGTGTCTTTCCCTCTTAACCCGCGAGAACAGGTGGCTTGATTAAATAATTGGACAGAGTCTGCTGGTATTTAAATTAAAATGGCTGAAAGCGTATACATACTGTACAGGCGGATGCAAGCGGGTGCACCCGGGCACACAGGCTGTAGACACTGTTGCCTGGGTTCCAGTAAAAAGCTTTTTTTTCCCTTGCCCGCGTATTTGTTACAGATTCCACTCGTTATCGGCGCTGTCGCTGGGTTTACGGTGCTCTCGGTGCTGGTAATGGGATTCGTTTGTTTCCTACGCTCGGATAGATGTTGCGTGGCCAGAAATACGGTGCCTGCGCTGCAGCAAGTGCATTGGTAAGCACGCGATATCGCGTCCCTTGGTGATTTGCACGAATAAACGTCGAAGCAATTTACATGGAAAACCTGGAGAACCTTTTTCAAGGAGACACACTCTCGCGCTGCACGTACGCGCTAATGAATTATTCCATGCACTGTTTCTCTCGGTTGCCGTCGTCGCTGGCATCGCGAGCCGACGTTAATTTCTTTTTATCCCTTACCCTCACGAGCCATACGTTCTACATACTTATCGACTAGCGAAATCCTTTGATTCGGCGAGACCGGAGTAGACAGTGATCACCTGTTCCAGCACGAAGGCCTCGAACACCATGATAGAGGATTCCCGTTTAGCGGTGGACACGATGGAACGTGGTAGCCAACAGTATGCGTCGGAAAAACGACCGAATCACGTTCTAAAACCCGTGCCGTCGCAGCAGTATCAACAAGAGTGTTACCAGCACGATCCACCGCACCAACAGCAACATTATCAGAGGCATCATCATCATCATCACGGACAGCCTCACGGACCACCGTACACGCTTCAGGTCAGATAAGTTGCTAGACAGAGAGAGACCAGTGACAAAAACTATTCTCGCAGAGTAGAATGACGATGTCGCTGAGCGACATCCCGCAAAACGTTGTTTTATTCCATTTTACCTTAGACCCACCAGGCCTCCCTCTCTTCGCATAGTTGCGCGAATGCACGAACGGTACACGAAGCACAAGTTCCCTTGACACTGCTTTTCTTCTTCGTTTTTTCGAGCAAGTCCTTGGTAACGGATACACCGCAACACGATCCTCCAGGCAGCTCATTTTAATGTTCCATTCCCCGCAGCAGCTCGCCAAGTTCTCCCTTCGATCCTGCCACTCCTTCATTTTCCCGGGGTCTTTCGGAGATTTTAAAAAATTGCCGCCATTACTAGCCCGGCAAAAGGAATAAGCGAACGAGATTCCCTTTAGATTTTTATCCGATGGGCACTGCTGCGTTTGGTCCATTGAATCCGTGCAGAGGTAACGCGTTAAAGGTGAAATTTTCTGCTTTTTTCTTTTTTTACCCCGAGCAGAGGGCCGAGAAGCGGGCTTCGAGAACGGGCTGATGTACAGTAGAAAACAGCGCGTAGGAGCATTCAAACCGCCGCTGCGTTTTTACCTCGGTTTTACCTCGGTTTTACCTCGCACCGTATCATCCTGTTCGATACAAATAACCAAGTACGATCTTCCTTTTTTTTTTCCCTCCTCTCTTCCTTGTCGAGAGTTTAACGAAAGCATCGAGACTCGATCGAGGATCTTTGAACGTTTGATCGTTGGTCGTAGCGAAAGAGTTTCGCGTTCGAGAGTTTAACGTATGTTACACCCTTCAGATATTTACACGTGACGCGAATGCTCGTAACATTTGGAGTTTCGTTTGGAACGAAGGAACCCACCGATTCTCGGGTTACCGATTAATCGTACAACTTTTGCGCCTGTCCTATTTATCGCTAGAACTACCGAAGCAACGGTCTCGGATTGTTGTCGATAGCACGAAGTCCGCTTTTCACGAAATTCGTGTTATCTTTCGTGCGGATAGCAACGCAATTGTATATACCCATTTATTTTTGTCGTGCTGGTTTAATTAAAATTATCCGTGTATACTATATTTACAAACGCATTACAGGTCGGTAGTTCTAGTGTTAATTCGTCAAAGCAGTCTCCATTCTCTTTCACGACTTTCCTTTTTTACGCCGAACCCCTCTGTTCACGCTTGTCGTGATGTAGATCGCTAGGATTATACGTGCATCGAACACGCGTTTCAGAGAGCATTACAGACACGCGTGCTCTACTCGCACATAGCACAGGCGGATAAGAGCAGCCCGTATTAGACCGCGATGATTTCATTCAGCCTGTTTTCACGGTAGCTGGTCACGTTGTGTCCTTCCGTTAAATACCATTCAATCGAAAGATTCACTCGTTCGAACCCCATTGACGTTCATTTACGCTCGGTAAGAACGAAAAAGGAACGATCTCAAAGGGTTCATGTACATACACATGTTATGCACGAAACATGGTGTAACCGCTTTGAAAGAACGGCACACGTATTACAACAGTTACGAGTTGTCACCACATAAACCTGTATATACACACGTTGAAAGTATGTCACGTCTACCGTCTCGGATCGCAATACCGCTGCAATAACTTCACGATGACAATATAGACTCGCACAAGTATTGACCACAGCCGCTGCTGTCCCTTCCCCGATCGAGATAGTCATTTGACTGATTTATGCGGTCGGTAGGGTGCATTACGCATGCATTTTGTTGCATCTAGACAGCGCGGTGTCCCTTTCCCCAATTACCGTTACGTCCTCGTAGGTAATGTCATTTAGGTCGTGTACTTACGTAAGTAGCGGATACAGCCACTTCTAATATAACGCGATTACCATTTTCACTGACCGTTTCGATCGTTTACCCTTTTCCCATTAATTAAACGACAAACGAACGCTTCCCCTACGCTTTACATCACGAACGTCTTCCTGGTACAGTTTGCGCCATGTAACGAGGTCAGGCTACGGCTTGGAAATAAGTTTAAGTAGAAAAGAATGTTGCAGACCGTGTGCAAAAAGAAGAGGAAACCTAATACAACTTTTCTCTCGCCCCGATCCCTTTCGACGATATAATCTGACCTATTTCCACGGGACATCATGTGGAAAAGATACAAACGTCAGCAGGTAAACTAAGCATTAGAGTCTTGGAGGGCTCTATTACTTGACAGAAATTGGTCACGCGTTATTAAAGAGGCGACTGTACCGTGAAAAACCAGATAGCGTTAAAAGTTTGATTTCGCCCTTCTGCCTTGCATCCCTGCCATCGCTTTCGTTGCGCTCTTGCATCCAAACAGGACCGTTTCCGGTACGACTGCGTGTTTCCTTCGACGTGGGTCGTTTTAAAACGAAAGACTGATACCTATTAAAAGAAAAAAAAAGGCTATTATACATATACGTATACTCGTTTCGTAAGTATATCACAGGTTAAATCACTGACTGATTATATGTATCGAGATATCGAAGAGGCTTCGAAAATTTATATATATATATTATATATATACACGGTTGTGAAGATAGTTACTTATGATAAATCTCATTATCGATGAATTTATTGTTGTTACGATAATTGAACGGCGCGTATCTGCCGAGTGTAATTAAATCACGAATAATCGTACGTTCGATTACCGATCGTTGAGGTAATCGAAGAGAGACGCTTACATGATACGTATAGGTTACCGTAACGCTAATCGAATTAATCGAAGTTAACGATTATTCAAGATGACTCCGCGGTTCGATAAACGTTAAGTTTTCGTCTTGTACACGCGTGTATTTGGCTCTTCGGAAATCGATATTACAAGGAAACCAGCGACCATTTACTTAAATCTATCGCCTAACAAAAAACATGCACGTTATCATTGCCGAATCGCAAACGATTTTATTTAATCGTTCGAGAGATCTGCCATTGGTCAACGTTCGCCGACGATTGTCACCGAGCATGTCATAACCTCGAAAATTCCGCGTGCATGCTGACATCTATGTATGCATACCTTTTTCAATCGGCGGGACACGCCGGCAACGTTTCACCGTTCTCTTTCTCCCTCGCTCTTCCTCTCTCTTTTGTCCTCCACGTTACACTCGCGCTTCATCCAATCACAACACGTCATTGTCACCATTAGCGCAGGATCATTGTAACGATTAATTAGCCTCGCTGCTCGCGACTGTCTCGAGACTATCATCGACATCGGTGAACTTCATCCAGCATACCTGTAATCGAACAATCAACGTGAGACGACGCTGTACGATGTTCTGTGTAGAAGCAACTCGAACAAACTTCGAGTATTCTCTTTCGTGTATCATGTTGTCATTAAAAAATAATCATACAGATGCGTGTGCTTGTCCGTTTGTTATCAGACCCCGTAATATCCCTTTCACGATCGCGGAAACGATCGCAAGCATGTCGCGCTGGTACGAATTATCGATATGAATCTGTTTTCATTTGGACCGTGTGGTACGGTGTGTGACACGTTTGCGTAACATCAAGCACTGTTTGCTTCACTCTCCTAGTATCCCGTTTGATGTAAGATTCTAGACGAATCCAGGACCGTTTTATGGAACGAAGGGCGACGGTTTCTTCTTTTTCATTCATTTTATTTTCCCAATTATATCTAACCTACAAACAGAAATATCTAAGTACAACGAGAATTCCAATGTTTTATGTAATTTCGATAATCAAACTAGAGCAAATATTTGTCCAGGCCGTTTACCAGAACGTTATTTACATCGGCATCGATAATATTAACGTGCACGCGAATATTTATTTCGTATTTGCCAATATCGAAACTTGTTAGATACGTTGAAAGTCACGTCACAACCGATGACAAGGTGATGCGTTTGAAAAAAAAATAAAAAGAAAAAAAATCCATCGAGACTGTTCGAGAATAATTTCCCGTTCGTCATTGACCCCCTCGATTGATACGACATTTTGTTCGTTGGCTGTGTATTGGCGTAATAAAACGCATCATTTTGGCAGCATTGCCGCGTCAATATTGATATACCGCGGTGAATGGCATCGATAAGTATCTAACAATAACATGGAGAACAATGAGCCGATCATAATCGGTAGAATAAAACGGCCCTGTTTTTTCTCACATATGAAAACATTTGCACAAACCGCACCTATATTCTATAGTTCATTCCCGTTTGCCCACGTAACTTACACCCGTAGCATATATACGTAGAGTTTTGTTACCCCGGCGCTTCCGGTTAGACGTGCGTATTGAACGCGATCCGATTCGTATTCTCTTAAGATCCTTAAGATGAAAATTGTGCAGGGGGAGCAGCTGTTTCTCAAACCAGATCGTTTAGCAACCCTGAAGCCTCACTGCAAGATCGAGAAGCCGCCGCAATACACGACGTTCAAGCCGAGCTCGAACAACTGAAGATTTTACTATTTCTATTTTCTATTGATGTACACGTTGATCGCACACACATGCGCGCCTCCTACGGGCAACCGAAACAAACACGAGAAACGAGAAGATAAAACAGGAGATGGCAGAAGAATCGATAAGACGAGACTGAAAAGTGGCATGCAATCAAAACAGAGGAGATCGACGCATAATTCCCTCTCTCTATCTCTCTTTCTACTTCGTTCGTACGATTCGCCAGGAAACGTATTCACCGCGAAGTGAAATGTTTCGCATCGTCGACCGATGCTTCCAGTCAACGAATCTTCGTTCCGAATTCTTTCTTTCTTCTTTTTTCACGCGACAGATTTCTTCCCTGTACAGATTCGACGGAGATTATCGCCCGAACGAACAAGAACACTGAACACGCGACATTTGGTCGGTATTGTCGGCGTTGGTAACTCGAGACTATGGGAAAGCTCGACAATATTGTGACTTTTAATGTTAATCGATAGATTTCGTAGTGAAAAATCGTTTTCACGCAAATAATACTGCCAATATGTTCCAACCAAAGACGATCTTTACGATGTCGGTACCAATCAAAATGAAAACTATATCGAAGAATATTTATAATGCTTGCGATAATGCTGTTAATAAAGCGGTGATTTTCAGCAGTTATTTATTGATTTTATTAATATTATATGACCTACGAGTCTGACGAGTACGCTAATGTCCGCGTGTTGTCGAACTTTTAAAAATTCACGCAACGATACGATTCATTCGAGAATGTTTCTCTTTTTTTCCGCATAACTGTTGCCAATATTATCAAAAGACTTTCAATAAAGGAATTGTGCAAACATCATTTGTCTTCGTTAATTGTAAGAATTGACTAACGATACCTGATTGTACGAATTTAAGGAGCAAATTGTTTAAAATTCTTCACTTTTTCTTAGTGTCGTCGCAGTGCATTGCGTTAACGATATTATTGTAGAAATGATATATATATATATCACTAATGCTATAACATACTAGACATGTATCATTGTCATTAAGAAAATGTAAGTAAAATTTACCCATTATAACAACGGTATAATTATCACGAACAAAGATCACTTTGTTTGATAATTTGCGTAACTAAATATATTTTCAACGGAGCAATTTGTGTTTCGTTTATCTCACTTTTATATAAAAAAAAAAAACGACGCGATTTATATTTTGAACGATATCAACCGTTTTAAACAATCGTGAGTAACTGTAAAAGATACGTATATAGAGTAGAAATCTTGTAAAAAATTTCAAAAGTGGTTAGTTGTAATGTTTGGTCACAAGGTGGCAGGCAATAACCTGGAATGCGTCAGTTTTCCTTTCTACATCTCTACTCAATCCCTGGCTCGTGACATAAACCTCGTGTTAACCGATAAGAGAAAGTGCGTGAGATAGTGGTGAGCGTATATAAAATTTAAACACTGAGAAAATAATTTAACGTGATAATTTCTAAATCTCTATTAAAAATTGACGACGCTAATGTAAATTTACATCGTTACAAACATGGCGGTACGTGTACAATTCGAGAACAATAATGAAATCGGGGTTTTCTCCAAGCTAACAAATTCTTATTGCCTCGTAGCAATCGGTGGTTCTGAGAATTTTTACAGGTAACGATAAGAATAAATCAATATGATTTTATCGCTAATTATATTGATAACGATCTATCCAAAAGTGCTTAAAACAGCAGGATAAGCTTTTCGAATAGCCTATCAATTTTCTAATTTTTGCATGCGTTGATATGAAACGTAATAGAAATTTTCACGAATAATAGATTATATGTTATTGGTAATTGCAGTGTCTTTGAAGCAGAATTAGCTGAAATCATTCCTGTAATTCATGCGTCAGTTGCAGGATGTCGTATAATCGGTCGATTATGCGTTGGTAAGCATAATAGAAGAACCCTAACCTTTAAGATTTGAAATTAACCACGTTTAAACAAAAATTTGAAACAAAGGAATAAATTTAAATAGGAAATAAAAATGGACTGTTAGTCCCAAACACGACAACGGATACAGAATTGCAACATATACGAAATTCACTACCGGATAAAGTTAAAGTACAAAGAGTTGAAGAAAGATTGTCTGCCTTGGGTAATGTTATTAGTTGCAATGATTATGTGGCTTTAGTACATCCCGATCTTGATAGAGCAAGTATTATACCTAAAAATAATATTAATCTTCCTCATATTGTAATATTTATAACAATGTTATGTTATAGGAAACGGAAGAAATTTTAGCTGACACGTTAAATGTAGAAGTATTTAGGCAAACCGTGGCTGGTAATGTTTTAGTAGGTTCATATTCTGTATTATCCAATCGAGGTGGTTTGGTGCATCCAAAAACATCCATACAGGATCAAGATGAATTGTCATCTTTGTTGCAAGTACCACTTGCTGTAAGATAATTTTATACATATATAAAGTAAAAATAAAAAACAGAGAATTTAAGTATTTATTACCAAAGTAAAATATCATGTAGGCAGGTACATTAAACAGAGGCAGTGATGTCATAGCTGCAGGGATGGTTGTGAATGATTGGGTATCTTTCTGTGGTATGGATACGACTTCAACAGAACTTTCAGTTATCGAAAGTGTTTTTAAACTCAATGAAGCTACTCCAGCTGCTATTACATCGACTATGCGTGCATCACTTATAGAAAGGTGATATACATTGCTTCTTGATATTAAGATATGATGCTGTCATAATTTTAACAAATATTTTTTATATCATTCCAGTATGTCTTAAGTAAAGCTGAACTCTCTAAGAGAGTACAAAAATAATGTTTGATGGTAGACTACATGTGTGTACATAAATTCAACATTTATAACAAATATAATTGCACAAAATAATACTGTGCTTTCAACACCATAACTGCAGCACTTTTTGTATGATTCCAACAAAACATGATTTAAAATTGTAATAGAATACTATACTAAAATTTATATAAAATGCAATATTAAGTTTTACCACGCAAACAATTTTTATTGTATGACATGTAATTTTAAAATGTCCTAAAAAAAAAAAAGCATTTTGAAAATGAACAGCCTCGAAAATAAACCTATAAATTATATAGAAAAAAGATTGATACTTACCTTTATTATGTCTAACATTGAAAAAATGAACTTGATATTGTGTATAAAAAAATATTTCCCCAAAACGCTTCCTTAATTTTGTTGAAATTTTTTTAATATATGAATTTATAAATATAACTGCATATAAAACGGAAATATTCTATTGAAATATATTTTAATCGATAATATTCTCTTTGAATACAGACATTTTCTGTGTTAAAAATGTAAATCATTTCGAGTCTGACCCCAACTGTCTTATTTAGTAAATGAGCTATTGTAAATAACATTGTGCGGACCAGCCTGCTAATTAAATTTATTACAAATAAAAAGGGGCAGCCTGGATTTTATTAATTTTGATCAACAAGACTAGAGTAATGGTAATTGTTCAGTATGTAACAACTCGGAAGCAGCTGCAGAGTCTGCACACATAACTAATGTAATACCTGCTTGATAAGATGCAGGAATACGAATGTGAGTTACACCGGTAGTTAGATTATTAAGTTGACGTCTCTGGGTCATTGCTTCGCGTACCATATTTACAACTTGACCTAGTAATAAATGTACAAAGTTAACATTTCGCGTTTTGATGACATTAATTCTAGATGAATGTAAATATTAAACATACCGAAAACATTGAGCTTTCGCCACTTTTGATCCATAGCAGCGATTGGTGTTAAATCCGTATTAGAATTCCAATGAGCTAAAATATCCGCTCTTCGTACTAGCAAAACACTAGGACTTACAAGTTGATGCCATACATACTAAAATTGATTAGAATTTACATATTGTTCAAATAACTCATTTATTTTAATCATAATCAGCTAACCTGTTCAGGTAAACATTCTAATGGATTAGTTAAATAAATTCCTGCTTGTCCAACACCAAATATCATTTGATGATGCCATGCATCTGGAATATCACACCCTTCTCCGCAATGTTGTAAATTTAACGTTGCTATAGGCGCAGCACCTAAAAAACACTAAGATGTACATACTGTTGATTTACATATGTAGCGATTACGAACCTTTTGATATCCAATAATGTAACCAATGAGACAATGAAACTTTCCTTTCTGGATAAAATGCAAAAAACTTTGTTACGACTGATCCATTTGTACATAACGCTATACCACGAGCTAGATCTTCGTGTGTCGATCCAGCCACTGATCGGCTGTATAAATATCGCGGTAATGGTGTACCTGGTTCTCTTTGTCTAGTATTCACACCTTTTACTAATGTTTCTAGTGAAAATGGTACATTTAAAGCCAACTACAAAAGTAAGTGATTAATTAATTGGTCAAAGCACTTTATAACTAAACAAAATAACGAAATGATACATACCAAAGCATTTATTGCAGCAGTAGCACCACATGCAGAGGTTCCTATTTGAGTTACTTGTTTAACTGTAGCTTCTTGTTCACTCCATAACATAATTTTTTCAACTGGTAAAAGGCCATCTAATCGTTCGTTAGATAATTCGTTTTCCTATGTACATATATATGTATGTATAAACATTTACATAAATTATCAAAGTCACATGTAATACATGTTAATATATTAAATTATAATAAGCTATATTAACTAGATTTGAGTCACCACTCTGATTAAATGCAGCTTGTTTATTGAGCATCAATTTCTTTGCCATCATACGATGATAAAGAGTTGAACTGAGATTCACTCTCCTAGAGTTTAAACTCGAATTTTCTGGAATAGAAGCTGATGAAGATTCAACCCACAATTCGGCATCCGAATCTCTATTGTCACCCGGTGAGATAAGATCTCCGCTTGTATTGTGATATCCATATGATTCACGTAAAGGACACCTTGTACTACGATACATTCTGGTGGTTTCCCATTTTCCTATAGATTTGTAATTCGATATAGTGCTTTAATTAAATAGTGTCTTCTCATAGTACATTAAAACAGTAAATATAATTTACCAGTCGCATTTGGCATCCACGGTGCAGGATAATTTGGTTTTATACTTGATTCGGGAGCAGATGAAGTACCACTGGAACATGGCTGAGGCTCAGCATTATTCACATTTTGTACACTTTGCTTTGGGTTTTGAGATGTAGTTGCAATTCCTTGTTTAGCTACAACTTTACCACTACTTAAATCATTTAATACTGGATCTGGATCTACATTATCTAATGCTATATTCTGTATATCTTCATTTATAGATGCCAAATCGCTATCTCCTGTATCCTACATTAAGAATAAATAAAATAATAAATGGATTACGATTTTACCATCATGTTTCAATACCTGCTCACAAGAAGGCCCAGGATCAAAGTCCATTTCCAAAAAATCCATTTCTGGACTTGATCTACCACTAGGACATTGCTCTTCTCCTTCATGTTCTTCCACTTGCCCTTGATTTAACTCTTCCTTTTGTATCAAATGAGCTGCATTATCATTTCCCTTATACGTATAAATACAGTAATCTTCTCCATCTGACATGTCTCCTTCGTTTCCAGAACTTGAATCCCTCCTCTCATTTTGCTCTCTTTGTGTATTCTGATTAACAAATATATAAATTAATAAGATATTGCCTTATTAATATGTTTCTGTATAACAATATAACGCTTACCTTTTGTAATCCACTTGGTCCTGCTACCTCCCTATCCCCGTTAATGTTAGGTCTTAAGAAACAACACGTTCCTTGACTTGTTGAACCTATACTACCCCCTATATTATTTAATAGGCTGTGAGATCCATAGGACCTTGATGTCCAGACACTTTCCACTTCAGGACTAGAGTCTGAACTACATGACACTTTTGATGGACACTTTTCAATTCCAGAAATATAATCTACATTATTTTTCATATCAATATCCTCATTTGGTTTAGCCGTTGATAAATTTGATTGCACTGTAGATGAAACTGATACTGAATTATTTAAATGTAAAGTAGCATTTGATGTACTGCCAGTATTAAAAGAACCTGACATACAAGTATGATTCACATGTATGTTGTTCTGACTGGAAGATAAATTTAAGTGCATTGGAGGCTTAGGCAAATTCAAACCGCTCATACTCATTATAGTCTTATGCTTCAATTGACTTGTAACATTAGTGTTCACAGTCTGGGATTTAATATTGTTAGTATTTAAAAACATGGAAGATACACCTGCATTCAATATATCTTGATTTGTATCTTGATCCATAGCATTGATGAAAGTACATGTATTAGTTTGTGAAGATCTTGTACCATTAGCAAATGCAACCGAAACTTTTGAAGACAAATGATTCTTGGCACTACTGTCTCCCAATTTGTTACTTAACTTTACTTGATCTCCATTTAATTTACTTTCAAACTGTATAACTTTAGATGGTTTAGTTGGCTGTTCAATTGATTGATTACCATTTTTTTTAAAACTTCCTTCTACTTTTGTTTCATTCTTGTTTTGACTGTTACTTGTACCCTCTTCAGAATTCATTATTTTTAAGATGATAGGAACAAGTTGTCTATTAAAAAAATAAACTGGAATGACTTTACTTACTCATTTTAAATTATAGATCTATTTTGTTAGTATACAATTAGCTGCAAATTTTTTTTAGTTAATATGCAGTAAAAATATTATGTTAAATAGAATCATTATGACTACTTCACGAAACTGTATATCACACAATGTGTTAGTATGCAGTATTTACCTTCGAATTATTTTATAACAATGTCACGATTATGCAAAGTTTAATATTAATTCCTTTTCAAGTAAGTTTAGATCACAAAGAGCTAAACGTGTCAGTCTTTGATTAACGAAATTATCAATAAATAAAAAACTTGTTTTCTTATGGGTATGCTGTTCTGTCAAGTGAAAAGAATGAAAGGCCTCACTAACATTTTCTCTCGTATTAGTTCCGGAAGTCAGCTGATTAGTAGAAACAAATGTAGCTACACACAAGTTTATTATTTCTTCGCGATTTTTTTCGTAAAAGCTATTTAATTATCCATAGTAATAAATAGTAATTTACAACAATTTTTATCAAGACAAGCACAGGCGATATCCGAGAGAAAATTCTCTTGTCTTCTCTTTTCATTAACAAGATGATCAAGCTTTTAATATTTACAAAATGTTATCATACGCGTTACAATAAGTCTATGATTTGCCTGAAAAGAAATACTATCTAGAGTCTCTTTTAAATTAGGAATCATCGTAATATAGTATACAAATAATCTACTCTCACGGTTTAAGGAAAATATCAACCAATCGTAAAGAGTCGGATATCTATTTGTGCACTTAATAGTAAATAAAACCTTTCTAATAATAGAGAACAATTAATGCAATTTATATATAGATGCCTAAACGTTACCACAACAACATTCAAATTGACGATGTGTTTCATGACAAAATTTGTAACAATATGTTATGCTTTTCACATTTGAGATATATTTACTGTGTATTATCTACGAATTTAGATAACGTCAAAGGAATAAACGTGAAAAATCCAAGATCGTTAGTCCCTAGAATCACGTTGCTTTGTTTTGATTAAGGGAATATTCGATCGTTTTTTTATTTGTAATTATTCTTTATATCAATAATTGTAAAGTTATTTTTTAATTAAGAAAGGTAAAATATCCTTACGTATACAAATATTTTATTCAGATTCCGAGCGAGCTAGTGGAATATATGGAGTTATGATTTTTCATAGGTAATTCAGTAAAGTATTGTTGAATTTCTGTGTGCGTGGAGAATTAATTTAATCAATTAAATAGTTTTCATAATGAATGTTGTACGAATTAATTCAAAAAATGTGATTTTTATACTTTTGGCGATTTTTTCGACTACTGTCAAGCAAGCTCATATGGGTTATGGTAAATTAATTTTCTCAAGCATTCATACAAATTATTTTTGAAGATACTTATATATAATATTTTAATTGCAGAAAGTGCAATTAAATATGCACAAAAGGAGGCTAATGTAAACTCTACACCAGCATATAGTAGTACAAAGGTAATATAAAAATTGCATCTTGCTTTAGTAATAAAAAGGCCTTAAATAATTATGTTTGTAGGAAGAGATTTCAAGACTATGTCCAAGTGGTATTGCTTGTTCAGAATTGAGTGGAGATTGTTTAAAATGTAACTTAAATTCTAATTGTGTATATGGAGCTGTATATGTTGCTAATTGTTCTGTTTTAGAGCATGTTGACTGTATTGTAAGTAATACAACATATATTATAAGTAATATATTATAAGTAATAATATATTTATCGATATATTAAATTTTAAGGGTGAACAATTCTTTCAAAAGAAGTATGTATGCCGTTACTGTTATCAAACTGAACATTGGGAGCACGAATGCCACCAAAAAAATTCTTGTAGCTCTGTAGCATCCCCACGACAATATTATACAACAAATTGTACAGTAAATGGTGATATATTATGTTTAGGAAGACGTAGATTTATGAAAAATTTATTATGCAATTGGACTGTAGGATATCGTTGGTCTACTGCTTTAATCTTGAGCATTACATTGGGAGGTTTTGGAGCTGATCGGTATGTTGCATTTAAGACATTAAATGTTAAATAAAAATTCCTCATATTCTATGTATGTGTTACAGATTTTATTTAGGTCATTGGCAAGAAGGAATTGGTAAATTGTTCAGTTTTGGAGGACTTGGAGTGTGGACATTAATTGATGTAATACTTATTTCTATGAGATATTTAGGTCCAGCAGATGGATCATTATATATTTGAATAAGTTTTGTAATAAACATAATGTATATAGAAGCAAAATTTATAATTTAAATGATGAGTTTCGTTAATTATTCATTCGGTTAGTAAAAAAAGAGTGAGGATTTTATTCATCACTCTCAAATGAACTGGATTGTATTGTGATATGTACATAAAACGTTAAATAGAGTCCTTTTGTACTTATTATTCTTAAGATGTTGTTTAATTTGCATAAAATCTTTTAAATTATTAGCATAATTATAAAATGAAATGCACATAGAATCATTTCATATTTATTATTCTTAAGGTATTGTTTAGTTTGTACAATCTTTAAAATTATTAACATAATCACAGATTATCTAATGTAAGCTTTTTCACTTTACACAATAAAGCCATATTTTATTATATCTTTTTTTATTGTCCTATAATCAGTATTACATGTTACATACAGTTTTTAATTTCATTCATGTTCGAATGTATAAAAGTGGGAGCATCCTCCCCTCTATCAGACACCCCTCTAGCGGAATCATTCGCCAAACAGTACGAAATCTGTCATTAGCTAGGTGTTTGTGAAATTTCCGATATACTTTCGGTTATTCGAGTTCGTGAAGAAAATAAAGGCTATTCTTTAACGATGTATGTATATGACAAAAAAAAAAAAGTTATTTTAAATAAATAAAAGACACTATCTATATCTACTATCTAACAAATTTAACGTTGCAATATATTTATCGAATACCTTGAATTAACATAACCTCAATGTAAAATGTCTAAACACAGGAAGGACAAAGGTTTATCAAAACTCGACAGCATGGCTGATGTACGGGATATATTAGATATCGAGGTACCTACCACTAGTGAGCTTACAAAGGAATCAATTATAGGCAGTGACAAAAAGAATCGAAAAAAATATGAATACAAAGTACCAAAAAGGCCAGAAGGCATGCATCGTGAGGTCTTTGCATTGCTTTGTAAAGATAACAATGATGTACCACCGCTGTTTCCAACGGATACCGCGAAAGGATATAAACAAGTTAGAGCTAAACTTGGCATGAAAAAGGTTAGACCATGGAAGTGGACACCATTTACTAATCCTGCTAGGACAGACGGTGCTGTCTTTCACCATTGGAGACGAGTTGCAGATGCTGGGAAGGAATATCCTTTTGCCAAATTTAATAAAAAGGTTCCTATTCCAACATATACCAATGCAGAATATGTTCAGCATTTGGTTACAAATGGTTGGACAAGAGCAGAAACCGATCATTTGTTTGATTTGTGTAGGAGGTTTGACCTAAGGTTTATCATAATCAAAGATAGATGGGATTGCACAAAGTTTCCTGCAAGATCTGTAGAGAATTTAAAGGAAAGGCAAGTAAACATTGCATATTTTGCAATTTCTATTTAAACATTTGTATAATTATTTAGGTATTATCAAGTATGTGCAGCTTTAACAAAGGCAAAGTCTCATTCAGATAAGGTTTATATATTTGATGCTGAACATGAAAAACGTAGAAAAGAACAATTAAAAAAATTGTTTGAAAGAACACCGGAACAAGTAGAAGAGGAGCAAATGTTATTAACCGAATTGAGAAAAATTGAACAAAGAAAGAAGGAGAGGGACAGAAAGACTCAAGATTTACAAAAGTTAATAACAGCTGCTGATCACCAAGCTGACCCAAGAAAGAATGAAAGGAAACCTGCCAAAAAAACAGGAGCTTCTGCTCGAAATAGACCAAATAAAGCTGATACATCTCATGTAAATATTTTGCCAATTATCATGTTGGTGTTTATATCCCATTTCTCAGGCTCAGAATCGATATTTATAATTATAAAAATTATAATAACATAATAACGTGAGTAAATTTTCAGACAGTAGAATCAGCTGGAATTAAATTCCCAGATTTTAAAAATAGCGGAGTTTCGCTTCGTTCTCAGCGAATAAAATTACCAAGTAGTTTAGGTCAAAAGAAAATGAAGGGTATCGAACAAATGCTCAATGAACTTCGTATAGGTATTTCCGAATTTCGAATTTATTATTTGTTTCGATTTTCTTAGATTTAGTTTTATCAATACGATCTTTGTTTCTCGTATTTCTTTCATAGAATTAAATCCACCACCTACGGAGCAAATATGCCAACAATTTAACGAATTAAGAAGCGATATCGTTTTACACTACGAACTCCGAAGCGCATTATCGACGTGCGATTACGAATTGCAGTCCTTGAGGCATCAATACGAAGCTTTAGCACCCGGAAAGGTACATCGCTTAAATAGCGAGTCTCAATTTTTCTGAAAAACAATATTTTCAACGTGAAATTTTCAGACACTGATGATACCACCTCCTCTGTTACCTAAGACAGAACCTGAAGTTAAAGCAGATATAATAGACGTGGTCGGTTCACCTAGTATGCCATCTATTACACACTAATTTTTAGAATAAGTTAGGTCCACAAATATTGTAAATAATTTCTCGAACGTTGTATCCCGATGTCTAACGTTTACCATCGGGTGCGTTTATTTAATGTTCTCTTTCCTGTATAATTTTTTACTTTTTATTAGACAATGATTAAAAATAATTTAACGAATGTTAAAATCGTCGAATAGTAGCGTTTCCCTCTCCTATTACGACTCACCATCGCGAGAAGTATCAAACGAAGAATAAAATAACTCGAACAAGGCGTTGATTACTTATATATCTGTGTATTTTATATTGTCGACAAAAAGTAACAATGTACGGTCAAACCGTATAATTTATCTACAACAATCTACAATAGATTACAATATGTTGTTTTGTTTTTGTTGAGAGTTAAAGGGAGGCAGGAATATTAGAATAACGGGAACTGGGTTTTTTTTCGGAAGGAACGGGAAATCGGGTTAAAAGTGTGGAGGAAAGATGGTCGATGCAGGCCTTTCTTCGTTCGTGCTCCGTTAATCGCGATACTGTTGACTGTTTTAATTCTATATTAAATTACTCAATAGCTCTAACCGTACTTGGTACGGAATAATGCATATATATCTGGTTCTTAATGATCGATAACCCACCGCCCGACTTTTCCATCTACGCCGTGCCGTGAGGACTCTCTCGGTCAAAGTTAAGTATAAGGAAAAACTGGGCACAACGCTGGCTGGCATCGTTGACCCGCATATCCGATCCATTGTTCGCGGATCGTGCATCCTCTCGTCTCTTTTTCTCTTTCTCGTTTCATGTGCCGACTGCTGACGCTTCGATCGCGGTCATCTTGACAATACGACGTTTTTCATTTTTGGTACAATATACACATCCCTACTCTTTTTTCGATATTCAATTTAAAGTAATGTCCAAACGAGTCGATCGAAATGGCGATTTTAAATTTAATTTTCCCGCCCTCTTTGTTTGGTTTTCGGAAAATAAAATTTCCAAATAATAGAATTCCGGGCTAGACCAACGGTTAGGTTAAACGACACGAGAGAATATTTTCATAAACTGAAGAAAAGAACCTGAAACGAATTTTAAACAGAGTTCAAAGTGTTAAATTTTGTTCAATCAACAGAGAAAATGATATAATCGTACCTGGAATAAGAACAAGAAACTATGCACGTTTACGCGATGCTATTCTCTGGAGAAATACATACTTATATAGACTGAGTGTCACAAAGGTATACCATAGCCGAATACGAGCGTTTCAAAAATCGTTTCGACTTTGAATGCGAAACGAAACAACGACATCCTAACCGTTACGATTTAACGTATAGAAGATTCGTTTTTACGACAAATTTTTAATTCTCCGAACGATACGTCGAAGAGGAACGAATAATTTTCGATCGCATTTTCATTGTCCTCGCATTTCAACCGGCTTACTAATCGATGCGCAGATTTTTCGTTCGCGACGAGAAGAGCACGATCGTTGATACTGGCACAGCAAACGGGTCGGGTGGAAATAGTGAAAGAAGTTGAGCCACGAATAAAGGAACACCGTGGCTGGCAAAACACGCGTAATACGTGTCTATATGTATATACACACTGCTATACATGTATACATATATACACATATCTGTAGCAATAATAGTAATAATTATAATAATCGTAGCGATAATAATAATAACAATAATAATGAATACGAACAATTTTTAACGTACAGAGTGTATGCGTACATTCGTCAACGAAAGTTCCCTTCGTCTTTCCTTTCTCGTATTATTTTTCCTCTATTTTTTCCTTACTCTTCGTTTCTATCTTCTATGCTTGTTCTTCCTCATTTAAACAACGCGAAACCGTTCACAGGGTTATTGATTCGATAACGTCCGAGCGATCCTGCAACTGACCGGAGAAGAGATTTGTCTCGTTATTATTATTATTATTTTTTTTTTTTTCAATTACTTTTGTT